GTGGAAGTTTAGATTATTGGCTTTAGCTCTTCCTTCTTTTCTAATATATGCATTCAGTGCTGTATATTTTCCTCCAAGCATTGCTTTTGCTATACCTCACAAATTTGTACGTTATATTTTTATTTTCCCTTAGTTTGAGATGTTTTATATTTCCCTTAGGATTTCCTTTTTGACTCATATGTTATTTGGAAGTGTGTTATTTAATCTCCAAATATTTTGTGATTTTTCAGATATCTTACTGTTATTGCTTTCTAGTCTAATTTCATTGTGGCCTGAGAGCAGATTTTGTATGATTTCTATTGTTTCAAGTTTATTAAGGTGTGTTCTATGGCCCAAAATGTGGTTTATCTTAGTGAATGTTCCATATGAACTTGAGAAGAATGTGTATCTTGCTGTTGTCAGATGAAGTAGTCTATAAATGTCAATTAGATCCAGTTGATTAATGGTCCTGTTCAGTTCAATTATATCCTTACTGATTTTCTGCCTGTTGGATCCTTCAATTACTGATAGATGGGTGTTGAAGTCTCCAGCAGTAATTGTGGATTCATCTCCTTGCAGTTCTGTCAATTTTTGCCTCACATATTTTTGATGCTTTGTTGTTGGATGCATACCTGTGAAGGATTGTTATATCTTCTTGAAGAATTAATCCCTTTATGTAATGGAACTCATTATCTCTGATAATTTTCCTTGATCTGAAGTCTACTTTGTTTGAAATGAATAGAGCTCCTCTAGCTTTTTAAAAAATTAATGTTAGCATAGTATATCTTTCTCTATTCCTTTATTTTTAATCTGTATGTGTCTTTATATTTAAAGTGGATTTCTTGTAGACAATATATAATTGAGTCTTGTTTTTTAATACACTCTGACAGTCTATGTCTTTTAATTGGTGTATTTATACCATTGGCATTTAATGTGATTATTAATATAGTTGGATTAATATATACCATATTTGTTAACTGTTTTGTATTCATTTCCTTGTTCTTTGTTTCTCTTTTTCTCCTCTACTATTTTTCTGCCTTCTCTGGGTTTAACTGAGCATTTTGTATGATTCCTATTTTTTCTCTTCTGTTAGTATATCAATTATACTTTTTTTAAAACTTTTTTTAGCAGTTACCCTTGCATTTGCAGCGTACGTTTACAACTTATCCAAGTCCTCTTTTAAATAACACTATACCATTACACAGGTAGTGCCAGTACCTTATAATAGAGTACCTTATAACATTGTTGTCATTCATTTCACTGATCCATAAGCTATAACCACTGAATACATTGTTGCTATTATTTTGAGCTCTTACCTATTAGATCAATTAAGAATAAGTCCTCTAGTATTCTTCCTTTTTTTATGTAGATCTGAGTTATTGACCTGCAGCTTTCTCTATGAAGAACTTCTTTTAACATCTCTTGCAAGGCAAGTCTCCTGGTGACAAATTTCCTCAATGTTTGTTTATCTGAGAAAGTCTTTATTTCTCCTTCACTTTTGAAAGATAATTTTTGCTGGTCTTCTTTTGTTTTAACACTTAAATATTTCACTCCGCTCTCTTCTTGCATGCATGGTTTCTGAAGAGAAGTGTGATGTAATTCTTGTCCTTTCTCCTCCTATAGTAAGATGTTTTTTTCTTCTGGCCTCTACCAAGGTTTTTTTTTTTTTTTTTTTTTTTTTTGTCTTTTATTTTGTTTACTTTGAATGTGATATGCCTAGGTGTAGATTTTTTTGATATGTATCCTGCTTCATGTTTTCTGAGTTTCCTGGATCTGTGGTTTGGTGTTTGTCATTAGTTTTGGGAAATAGTCATTATTGCTTCAGACATTTCTGCTCTTCCTTTTTCTCTTTCTTTTACTTCTGATATTCCCATTACATTTATGTTACGTGTTTTGTTATTGTCCCACAGTTATTGGATATCCTGTTCTGCTTTTCATTTTTTTTCTCTTTGAATTTCAGTTTTGGAAGTTTCTATTGACATATCTTCAAGCTCACTGATTATTTTCTCAGCTGTGACCAGTCCATTGATGAACCCATCAAAGGAATCCTTCATTTCCGTGATGGTGTTTTTGATTCCTAGAATTTCCTTTTGGTTCTTTCTTAAGGCTTCTATCTCTCTGCTTACATTATCCATCTTCTCCTTTATGTTGTCCACTTTATCCATTACAATCCTTAGTGTATTAATCATAGTTGTTTTAAATTCTAAGTCTGATTATTCCAACATCTCTGCCATATCTGAGTCTGGTTGTGATGCTTTCTATGTCTCTTCAAACTGTGTTTTTTGTCTTTTAGTATGTCTTGTAAATTTTTGTTGCATGCCAGGCGTGATGTAATAGGTAAAAGGAACTGCAGTAAATAGGCCTTTAGTGTGAAGTTTTGTTTATCTGGATAGAGGTTAGCCTGAGTTTACTGTTTGCTGTAACCACGAGTGACAGAGGCTAAACTTACCTCTGGTGTCTTTGTTTTTATTTCCCCTGTAGTCTTTGGTTTTCCCTAGAGACTTCTTAAGTATTGTCTGAGAAGCACAGTTCTTTTAGTCATATTCTCTGTTATTATCCAGGTGGCCTTGATGTGGTGGTAAGGTGGGAGTGAAGGAGTAACATTCTACAGTCCTTTAATTATGTCTCAGTCTTTTAGTGAGCCTGTACCACTGGCCTGTGACCATCACAAGTGCTTCTCAGTTTTGTGTGGTTTCCCCCTAAGAAGAGACAGAAGGTCAAGCCAGGTCCGGAGTTGGGTATTTCCCTTTTCCTAGATCAGTTAGGCTCTGGTAAACCCCAAGTATATTAGGGTCTGGTAAAATAGTTTCTCTTGAGGGCCTTGTTAGGAAGAATGAAATGCTCTGTGCATATTTTTACAAAGGCTACTTTTCCTCTCCCCCTCTCAAAAGCATGGAAACATGAGGGAGTTTTTCTCGGATCTTCACAGTGAGAACCTGATAAGGTGCTTGGAAATAAAACTCACAAAAGTGTGAGGATCCCCCTAAGACTGGACCCCCTTAGTATTTTTAACTCTCAAACTGGTCCACACTGAGCCTCTAGCAATTTGTCAATTACGGATTAAGTTTTCCTAGCCCTATACTGGTTCACAAGGAGTTTTCTGCTCCTGGGCTTCTGCTCTAGGAAGTTTTGATTCTCTGAATCTTTCTCTCCCTCTCTTCAGTTTTGCAGACAATAGTTCGCCCTACATCCTCAGTTTTTTGATGGATCTAAGAGGAGTTGATTTTCAGTTTGTTCCACTTTTTTCTTGGTATGTGGGTGGAAGAGATGACTTTCAAGCTCCTTACATGCTTGACTGGAATGCAAGGGAACTTTTGAGACATCAAAGACATGTTTGTTGTAAAGTTTTCATCTCTTAAAAACTGGTTAGAGAAAACTGGACAGCCACATGCAAAAGATTGAAAATTGACCATTCTTTTCCACCACACACCAAAATAAACTCAAAATGGATCAAAGACCTAAAGATTAGGCCTGAAACAATAAGTCTTCTAGAAGAGAATATAGGCAGTACACTCTTTGACATCAGTTTCAAAAGAATCTTTTCGGACACTATAACTCCTCAGTTGAGGGAAACAATAGAAAGAATAAACAAATGGGACTTCATCAGACTAAAGAGCTTCTTCAAGGCAAGGGAAAACAGGATTGAAACAAAAAAACAGCTCACTAATTGGGAAAAAATATTTACAAGCCACTTATCCAACAAAAGGTTAATCTCCATAATATACAAAGAACTCACACGGCTTAACAACAAAAAAACAAACAACCCGATCAAAAAATGGGCAGAGGACATGAACAGACATTTCTCAAAAGAAGATATAAATATGGCCAATAGACACATGAAAAGATGTCCATCATGGCTAATCATCAGGGAAATGCAAATCAAAACTACACTAAGATATCACCTTACACCCGTTAGATTGGCAAAAACATCCAAAACCAAGAGCGACAAATGTTGGAGAGGTTGTGGAGAAAAAGGAACCCTCGTACACTGTTGGTGGGAATGCAAACTGGTACAGCCACTATGGAAAACAGTATGGAGATTTCTCAAAAAGTTAAAAATAGAAATACCCTATGACCCAGCCATCCCATTACTGGGTATCTATCCTAAGAACCTGAAATCAGAAATCCCAAGAGTCCCTTGCACCCCTGTGTTCATCGCAGCATTATTTACAATAGCCAAGACGTGGAACCAACCTACATGCCCAGAAACTGATGATTGGATAAAGAAGATATGGTATATATACACAATGGAATACTACTCAGCCATAAAAAAAAGACAAAATTGGCCCATTTGCAGCAACGTGGATGGACCTCGAGGGTATTATGTTAAGCGAAATAAGCCAGTCAGAGAAAGACAAACTCTATATGACTCCACTCATAGGTGGAAGTTAATATATTGACAAGGAGATCTGACTGGTGGTTACCAGGGAAAAGGGGGGTGGGGGGAGGGCACAAAGGGGGAAGTGGTGTACCCACAACATGACTAACAATAATGTACAACTGAAATCTCACAAGATTGTAATCTATCATAACATTAATAAAAAAATAAAAAAAATAAAGACTTAGCTGGACTGGACATTAAGAAAAAAAAAGTATATATATTGTGTTCTGATTTTTGAAAACAATAACAAATCATATCCTACACATTTATGTAAGTATCTTTATATATTATTGTATGAGCATGGAAAGTATATAGAAAGAGACAATAGAGATTTTCAGCGTATATCACCTGAATAGGTAGGATGGGATCTGGGAGACTAGAAGCCCACTACACAAAGGTTAAAAACAAATTAACTAACTTTACTGGGAGCATGTAAACACAGTTTTATATGTAATGTGATAAATTTGCATTAAGTAAAATCATACATGTAAATGTTACAAAATCTATTCAACAACAACAACAAAAAAAACTGGTCAGAGTAACTATCTTTCCCTTAATGCACTTTATTTTTCTTTTAAAGGGATAAAAAGTAAGATCTTTTCGGAAATTTACTTTTTTCTTATTTTCTTTTCTCAAATAGATCCTAAATGCCCAGGAGATGTTGATTTTCATGATAGTGACTGGGACATTAAGACAATCACCAGCTCCTTGAAATTCTACCTCAGGTATGCCTGATATGATTTAAGACTTTACTTTTCATAGTTGATGAAATCTGTCTGGATGGAGATTGAAGTTATTGTGGTCCCAGTTTGAGGAAATTGGATAGGATTGCTAAAGAACAAAAAAAAAAACGAATGAAAAGGATTTATGTCAGGGAAGAATGTGCATTAGGAGACTTTTTTTTAAAAAAAAAAACTGGGAATTTAATCAAGGGAAGCATCAGAATAATAGAATTATTGTTGAAAAATGGCTTTTTTTGGGAAAAAAGATTATTTAAAAAATCATACCCTTAAAATAATTGAAGTTTTGCCATTGTGCACAGATAGAGTGATGTCACAATGGGCTCACTAGTAAAATCAGGAATTGTGACAATTCAATGTTGTTAACATGTTTTGGTGGATAATAACCATTTTAAAACATTAAATTGCACTTGTGCAAATATAATGTGTGTGTTTGTGTGATATGTCTCATACCTTAATCAATATAATGGAAATAAAAACCAAGAAAATACAGCTATAAAAATGCTGGAACTGAATGAAGTGACAGCAATAGGAAAAAAAAATTAACTTACCAGTAAAATTTGAGGATGCACAATGATGATGACTATATCATTCAGTTTATTGGCATAAATTTATATTATGTAAAAATATTTCTGACATACATACTTTTTAGACTCATTCATTTCTTACCATTCTTTATATCCCATAGTATGCGCCATACTTTATGTGCTAAAATGTCTTCTTTTCAATCATTGTACTCTTTAGAAATTAATATAGATACTTAAGCTCTGGGAAATATTAATCCAAAATAGACTGGGTCCCAGATATTCCTGTAAAATGACCTGCTGCTATAGCATCATCTTAGAACTTTATATAAACATCAATGTTCTTTCCAAGAGTATTTCTCCTGCATCTGCCAAAGAAGAACGGTCCGTTGTTAGAGGGTTTATTCTGTGCTAGATGGTGTTCTAGTTGCTTACATTGACAATATCATTGTTTTTTTCTCACAATAGCCCTGTAAGTTAGGTGGTGCTATACTCATTTTACAGATGAGGAACTTGAAGTGCGCCCCCTCCACCGTTAGGTAATATCCATGGTCACAGCTCATATTATTTAAATCTAAGTATCTCGAACTTGTAAAGCCACTGATATTGGAGCATCTCTTCCCCTCTTCCCCACCCCCAGGGACTGTGGCCTTCTTGGAGTTGCTTGGGTGATGTAGTAAACACAGAGAGCAATCTGCTATGCATACTTTCAGAAGACTCGTGATGATGAGACTAGAGTAAATGATTCTATGTCTCAGCCTCCTTCAAGAGAATCAGTTTTTTTCAGAGATTTATATAGGTTAAGTTACTCCCTATATTACATCTTTCCCAGCTCATCGTGTATATGCAGTGTGGCCCTTTTGAAAGATGGGAAGATCGAGCCTGAAAGTGTGAGTGGACAGAACCCCCAATAAAAGATATTTGTCCTTAAGACTCTTATCCATGAGCCTTTAATATGTACTAGCCAGTTAACACACTTTAGATTTCTCAAAGATATCAATATTTTCAGAGTGGGCCTCCTCCTTCTGTGTTCTATGTACGTAACTCATCCCTTATCTCCAACATTTCCAGAAAAGTACTCTAAAAATCATCCCTTCTCTCCTGTATCCTTAACCTTTCTCATTCAACTGACTCTTTCCTTTTAGCACATGAATATGCTCCAGCAATGCACATCTCCTTGACCTTGTGTTTCTTTCATTTATATATTCCATCATTCACTAAGTCATTCAATAAACATTTCCTGAGTGTCTACTCTATGCCAAGCATGGTGCTAGGCAGTAGGCATACATGTGTGCGTAGATATGATCTCTGACCTTAAAAAGGTTATAGTCCAGTGAGGGGGGCAGACAAAATACAAATAATCATACAAATATAACAAACTGTAATAAGTGCTCTGAAGGAAAAGTACAAGGTGCTATGAAGGCATATAACAGGAAGATCTGATTTATTCTGGTTGTTTGTTTGAACTGAGGTTTGAATTATAACTTGGAGTCACCTAGGGGAGAGGCATTTCCAGATAGAGAGAACTGCATATGCAAAGGCCTTGAAGGAACAGGAAGGAAGACTCCTTCAAGAAACTACATGTACCAGTATAGGTAGAGTATTGAGTGTAGAGAAGGAGGGAGAGATATGTAGGGGCCAGATCATGCAAGGCCTTATAGGACATTTTAAGAATTGGAGTCTGGATTTACCTTATAAGGAAAGGGAATATATTGAAAGGTTTTAAGCAGGTTACATGATATTTGCATTTTGAAAAAACTAGAGAGAGATCAAATTAGAGGAGGCAAAATAGGTAGAGGTGAAAATCAGTTAGCAGGCTATAACTATAATCCAGGAAAGAGATGATGTTTCTGCTTGACTAGGGAGTAGCAGTGGAGATCAGTAGAAATAAGCATATTCAAGAGATTTAGGGAGTAAAATTAGATATGAGAATGAGGAAGAGAAAGATAAAAGAATGACTTCCATGTTTCTGGCCCATACAACTAAATGATGGTCATGCATTTACTGATTTGGGAAATGCAAGAAAAAGACTAGATTTGAGGGAGATGACAAATTAGGTTTTGGGTATGTCAAATTTGGGTGTCTTTGAAAAGATTAGGGCATGATTTTAAGCAGGCAATTGGATATATAGGAAATATATAGGAATGATACTCAGAGAAGTGTTCTGGGCTGGAGATAAAAATTGAGAATCATTGACAATGTAGACAATAATTGGAGGCAGGAGCTTAGATGAGATTACCTAAGAATAGAGATACTTCACCCCTTCCCGACTTCAGTATATGAAGTAATATACACTCCCTGTCTCTATTTCTTAACCTCCCAGTTTACTCTTTAACCCACTGCAGTCTGACTCCCACCCCTTCTGTTCCACTGGATCTGCTCTTGCCAAGGTCACCAGTGACTTCCTCAATGCTATACACAATGCCATACACAATGGACGATTGTCAGTCTTTACCTTACTTGACCTCTTTGTAGCATTTGAAAATGTTAACAAGCCCTACTTTGAAACTTTCTGATCTTTTGGGTTCTGCTGTATCACTTGCTTTTGGATTTCCTCTCACCTCTTTGATCATTTTTAGCGCTCTCCTTTATGGACTTTCTACCTGGTACTTGCTATTGCTCTCCTCTCCTTTTACTACACAGGAGGAATGGAAGATTCAAATATCTACAGGGGCCAGGACATGAAAATGAGTGAAATAGACTACTTTCATATGAAACACAGTGCATATTGAATCTTTATTTGCATAGCAATCCCTTTGCTTCTTTATAAACAGCAATATTCTTTACTTCCACAAATAACCATATGTGCTCAATGTAGCCAGATCTTTCAGTTTTTCAATAGAAGTGGAAAATACAGATTTTTGTGTGAAATATCTCAATTTCTCGTGTTCTGATGACTGATTCAATTCCATTTCTTTTTTATACACTATTCTGGACAAATAAGAAATGTTGGAAGGCCTCATGTAGCTCTGGGCTGCTGGTTTGCTGTCTTTCCTTGAGCAGTGGTATCTGTACTCATGATTTTAACTACCCTCATAGGTTCATGATTTCCACATTTACTTCTCAGATCTATAAGGGCACTCCACCCATCTTTCTAATAGACATTTCCCTTTGGCTATCCCAGCAGCCGCTCTGACTTGGCATCTCCACTTCCTTCTGAATCAATTTCTATTCTATCTATTCACCCAAACCAGATTACTCTCTCCCTCACCAACATACCCAATCATTGAAGGAGTTCTGTTTTTATTGTCTTTCAAAGAACTCTCCTCGCCTTTTTTTTTCTATCCCTAATGCCACTATTTTTGTTTAGGCCTTTGATATCTCTCACCTGGATTACTACAGTAATAACAGTGGCAAGCAGTATAGCATAATGATTAATAGCGTGGACTCGTAACGCACTGCCTAGTTCTACCACTTCCTAGCTGTGTGGTCTTTGATGAATTATTTAATTTCTCTGAACCTCAGTTTCCTCTAAAAGGAAGATAATAACAATATCTACTTGACAAGGTTGTCATGAAGATTAAATGAGTAAATGTATGTAAATGACTTAGAACAGTGAAGAGTTTGCTGCTATTATGAGTAGATTACTTCCTTCCTCTGAGCCACCCATCAGCTGCCTTTATTTTATCATCACACTTGTCCCTTGCATTGCAAATTTTGTATATGGCACTCTCCTCGACTAGACTCTTAGCTCCTTGGAGGTTTGGGTTATGTCCTTTTCATCTCTGGATCTGCAGTACTTGGCATAATGCCAGGCATGAGTAGGTGCTCAGCCAGTATTTTTGGAATAAATAAATAAATCTATTTGAGCCTCAGTTTCTTCCTCCATTAAACAGAGATTTTAATAACTGCTCCACCTCACAGGATTATTGGAAGGGTCAAATGGGAGCACAGATCTGAAAGCACTTCAGAAACTAAGAAACTATCAGACTGTAAGGACTTCATAATAGCATTCAGAGTGGGTCCACTTTGGAATTTTACAGGACTGGTTTGTGCCTCTTATCACTTTGGGGAACTAATTGAAGACCTTGCATGAGGTCTCAGCCCATACCTTTGCAGGTCTTCTGTTTAATTATTAGCAACTAGATTCCTCTGACAAAATTTTAGGTGGAGATAAATGTATGTAGTCGCACTAAGCTGTGGGGCTCAGAAACTTCAGTCTTGCTGCACACAGAACTGAGAATCTAAGGCCTTGCAATTCCCTTCCCAAAGGAACTTACAGTCTTCGTTAATTTCAGGAATCTTTCTGAACCTGTCATGACTTACAGACTTCACAAAGAGCTGGTCTCTGCTGCCAGTAAGTATTTATGCTACTAGTTAATTCTGTTGTCCTGGCTTCTTAATAATGTTTACAGCAATAAGCCTAGAAAACTGCTTATGGGAAAGTAATTGAGGGAAGAACCAAAAACACATATGCAGATTCTATTCACTGCCAAATAAGAGTATTATTGCTAACTGTCTAACTCAAATGTTATGTTATTTTTCCTAAATCAATGTTAGTTGAGTGGGTTGGAGAAAACTGGATAATTTGAAAGATATGACAAGTATGATGACTATTGATTGACTATGCTTCTTCCATCAGAACAAGAGCATTGGCTCACATTACCAGGGAACAGGAAAATGGTTCCACTACAGTCGCTGTTTCAGCTTTTTTTTTTTTAGCACTTTCCCTTTTCAAATGCTTTGCAATTATGTTGTGAATCATTACTCCTAATCTGTTAGTGCTAGCATCACATTTTCTAGATGATAAAACTAAAGCTGATGGTGGAGGGGTACATGGGAAATAAGGCATATAGAATCACCCCAAAAGTTGACAGCTTAAGAAGCATTAAAAGTTTTGGCTGAGGCCACTGCATGATCCTTCCCTACCTCAATGTGATCCTTCTCCTGTATCATGCCCTGTGTGGTATGTGAGAAAAAGATTCAAGAGACTTGTCCTCATAATGAACCTTTATTGGGGCAAGGGATCTTTGATCTTTACTGTGAGCTTTCACAGTGATTTTCACAGGAACCCAGAGGCGGAAGCATACCTCCCAGTACCACAAGGAAGGTGGGTGGGCAAGGGTTTCCAGCTGGAATTTTACATATGGAACTTTAGGAGAAACCTGCTATACCAAGAATTCTGACTTCCTCTGAGACAGTCTTACCTTCTCATCTTTCCCTTCTCTTCTCTCTTCTGTTTTCTTCATCTTTCTATTGTTTTCATCTTTCTTTTTTGCCTTTTGGTCTCTCTGTCTTTCTCTCTCTTTGTCTCAGTGTCTTTGTTTCTTGGCCTCTCTTTACCTGTTTATCTCCCTCTCTCTTTTTATCTCTCTTACTCTATCTGTGTCTCTGACTGTCTATTTCTGTGTGTGTGTGTGTGTGTGTGTGTGTGTGTATGTTTGTGTGTATGAGAGTTTGCTTGATCAAATTGCCCAGAAGGCAAACTATCTCTCTCTCTGTTCTCTCTCAGAGTCTGACAACCTGGATTACCGGCTGGGAGCTATTCACTCCCTGGTATATAAACTACCAGAAAAGAACCGAGAGATGCTGGAACTTCTTATAAGACACTTGGTCAAGTAAGTAATTGCTGGGTTTTCAGAAAAACTTCCTATTAGAGGACTGGCCTACAAGTTAGCGCTGCAGAGAAACTGCCTGTCAGCTCATTAAGTCTCAACCCCTAAGTGCTTCATCCTGGGCAGTGGGAGTGCTGTATGAGGAAAATAATTTTTCCTTGACCCTTGTGTAAATCCTCCCAGAGTCACCATACATCTCAGTTGAGGGGTAACACCATGCAGAGTGGGCTGAACACAGGCTTTACTGTCACATAAACCTGGTTTTAAATACCAGCAATACCACTTATTTAGTTGTATAACCTTAGGAAAACCTCTGTTAGCCTCTATTTGGTCGTGTGTAAAATGAGAATAGTATTGCCTTTACACAGGATTGTTATATGGATTTGAATGAACATAGGTAAAGTGCATGGCACATAGAAGGGTCTCAATAAATGTGAGTTATTGTTAAAATTATAGTCAACTTCTTCCTTGGGTGTGGAAAGCAGGAACAGACAGCAGCATTCTAGGGAGTAGGCCTGCTGATGGGCTCCAAGATGGGTGAGTGTAAGGGGCATGTGTGTCGCACTGTGGTGGTTCCTGGCCAGAGAGTTCAATGTTGTGAATAAAGATGAATTTCCTTGACTCATAAAAGGCCAGCTCTGCTTCTTAGGAAGTAGCATGGTGCAGCAGAAACCACTTTGTCCTTGAGTCAGCAAACCCGGCTTCTAGTTTCAGTTCTTTTACTACTAGCTTTCTTGATGACCATGGGAAGGTCACTCTCAAGCCCACTCCTGGTATGCTAAAAAGTAAAGAAATGAAACAACAAGCTTAGAAAAATTGTGATGCATTTTAAGTGTTTGTATTTAACAAAATACAGCTATCAGCACACTCACAAAAATGCAGTGATGATATATTTTAACCTCATTTGGAGAGGATGCCAAACACTAAAATTGAGGCCCTTGGTGAAGGTGAGGCTCCAGGCTAAGTGACCCTCTTCGTCTCCCCCTGCGATAAATCCTGATCACTCCACATCTCTGGACCTCAGGTTCCCCTATGATATAATGAAATATCTCCAAGATCTGATCCAGCTCTGATATTCTAAGATTTGAAAAATCTTTCTACACTTGTATAGCAAGTGAGTATTATAGACATTAATGTAGATAAATAGGCAGAATTAACAAGAGGATGGTTTTTATATTTATTGCCAATGTTTGCAATTTGGGCTTATAGAGAACATTAAGAGGCATTTTTCTTTCCAAAAAGTTGTTTGTGATAATCTCAGGAGAAGTAAAAAAATTACCAGATAAGCCACTTGCATCTTAATTTGAAGTTGTCCTGGGGGAAGAGACTGGGTTCAAGTTCCAACTGTATTACTAATTTGCTGTGTGACCTAAAGTAAGTCCTTCCCATTTTCTGGGCCTCAGTTTATTCATCTATAATATGAGGGGACTGGACTGACTAATCTCAAAGGGTTCTTCCAGCTCGGACTTTCTAAGAGTCTCAGTATGTGAAAGGAGCCAAGGACTCAGTTGAAAATTTTCCTGCTAGCAGTTAGTGAGAGACACCTGCTTCCATCTACCCAAAGGTTGGCCAACCTTCAAGAATCTTCATCCTCAATATACCTAGAACAAAAAGAGTGAGAGACTTGAACACACACGACACAGAAATAGAAAGATGAATATCCTTAAATATATGAAAAACTGCTCAAGTTCACTCATAGTATATACACACACACCATGGCATACTCCTCAGCCATAAAAAAGATGAAATCTTACTATTTGCGAGAACATGGATGGACCTTGAGAGTATTTTGCTAAGCATAATCAGTCAGATGGAGAAAGACAAATACCATATGATTTTGCTCATGTGGAAAATAAACAAACAAATGCATAGATATGAACAGATTGGTGGTTACCTGAGGTGAGGGGAGGGTGAAATGAGTAAAGGGGCATATGTGTTTTGTGATGGATGGCAACTAGACTTTTGGTGGGGAACATGATGCAGTCTATTACAAAGTCAAAATATAATGATGTAAACTGATATTTATACCATGTTATAAAGCAATGTTACCTTAATAAAAAATGAAAAACATAAAGTAAAAATAAAAGGGGCTGGCTCAGTGGCATAGTGCATACTCCACTTCGAAGGCTTGGAGTTTGCTGGTTCAAATCCCAGGGGTGGACCTACACAATGCTCATCAAGCCATGCTGTGGTGGCGTCCCACATACAAAATAGAGAAAGATTGGCACAGATGTTAGCTCAGGGCCAATCTTCCTCACCAAACAAGAAAATAAAATAAAAAATAAAAACAAAACAACAACAAGAAAAACTTCTATTCACTGAGTCAGTCTTGAAGTGATTCTACCCAAACAAACAATGAACACACATAATACCCAAATCTTTGTTTCTAAATAGCATTCCCTTCTCAAAAGTACCCAGGCTTCTTATAGAAATGGCTGATCCCAGGTATGATGCAATGACAATACAAGGTGAGCCTTGATAAAATGTTCCTTTGTAAGCAAAGAAGAGCTCAAGCACTAATAGGTTCATGTTACAAGGACACAGGAACATGCTTGAAAAGGCTGACACTGATTACATCTGTGGGCAACCCATCAAAAACTATAATTACTGTATTTGATTAAAACACTTTGAATAGACAAAAATTCATGGGGGAGTAGGTATAGTAAGGAAATCTCTTTATTACAGAAGAATCCCATCTAATAAATGTGGTAGGGATGATAGAATTAGAAAAACCACTAGTTTTCAACCTCAGTGCCCTGCTTCACACATGGATCAAAACCATTGGGTAAAAGATTGTTCAGCAACAAGATATTCATACAGTTTCAATGTTTTACCTGCAGATAACTTACTAATTACAAATGGAAAATGTATCTTTACAATGAAACTATCTGGGAAACACCACCTTAATTAATTGATCAAAGTTGGCATCAGTTAATGGTACAAACTGACCTTCTGTGCCTCCTGATGGGATATAGTAAAAATTACACAACATAAACTGAAATATTTTTGCCAAAAATGTTTAACCGAAATCAAATTAAGGCTATCCAGTTTTCAGGAAATACAGAGTATAGAAAAATACAGAATGTTTAACATTCTATAAGACAGCTGTCTTGGACTTTCCAAAAAAGTCAATGTTCCAGGAAAAAGAGGTGGGGTACTGTTTTATATTCAGAGACTAAAGAAACATAAACAAATGAAGTGCTTAAACTTTGATTGGCCTGGGTTTTGAAAACCCAACTATAAAGTAATTTTTTGCATGATATTTGAGAAAATTTGAATATGGACTAGATATTGGATGATATGGAACTATTGTAGATTTTCTTAGGTGTGAAAATGTTGTTGTGGATTTGTAAGACAGCATGCTTGTTCTTTGGAGATGAATGCTGAGTTATTTAGGGTTGAAGCAATTTTAAAAGGTTCAGAAAAAATATAGAGAGAAAGCAAATGTAGTAAAATGTTAATTCTTCAGTCTAGATATAGACAGTATGAGTGTTCATAGTACCATTCTTTCAACTTTTTTGTGTGTTTGAAAACCTTTATAACCAAAAGTTGTAGGGGAAATGAAAATAAAAAATAGGCTTGGGGGTCTGGCCCAGTGACATAGTGGTTAAGTTCGTGTGCTTCACTTCAGCAGCCCAGGGTTCACAGGTTTGGATCCTGGGTGCAGACATACACACTGCTCATTAAGCCATGCTGTGGTGGCATCCCACATACAAAATAGAGGAAGATTGGCACAGGTGTTAGCTCAGGGACAATCTTCCTCAAGCAAAAAGAGGAAGATTGGCAACAGATGTTAGCTCAGGGCCAATCCTCCTCATCAAAAGAAAAGGTTTGGTTCCAATAGGGAAATTTACACAGGAGAAGAAAATCGATTTGCTTTGAGAATTCACATAATTATCCTACCTGCCAACCACTGCTTTCGTAATCTATATGATAATTATATCTATGCGTTTGTAATGTGTCTCCACTGCCAGCCCATTTTTTAGGCTAATAACAGGCAGACACAAACTGACCTCAGCCAGTTTGGGGTTCCCAATTATCCAGTTCTTTTTGGTTGGTACCTATAGCTTCTGTTAATCAGAAGTCCAAGAATGCTACAGGTCACCTCCCCCACAATCTCACAACTGGTGGAATATTACAATGGAAGCAAGCCTCAGGCCTCCTTCTGCCACTCACACAGGTATTTATCAACAAGCAGACACAGAAACAGTTGTACAACTTGTTCCTAAACTCAATGAAGTCTCAGCTCTCTTTTCTTTTAGATGTTCTGACTGCATCTTGCATGAAAGGTCCACTCAAAGCAGATGAGATAATATTATAGCAACACAATTGGAGTAGGTAATAAAATCCTATGATACAATGCCCAAATGCAAGACCCCTTTGCAATCGTCAACCTAGGCTACCATTCTAAAGAGCTATTAGGCTTACTGGAGTCTTCTCATTTTTGCAATAACACTTCTGTTATTTCTGAAGCAATGCCATGCAATGTAGATATTAGAAAATACAGAAAAGAAAAAAAAATGTAAAAGCTTTCTATTCCCAGCATCAAAAGTCACTGCTATTAATATATTAGTGCATTTTCTTCCAGATCTTTCTGTGATTGTGTGTGTTTATGTATGCACAAACTCCCCTCAAATGAATTCTGGATGTAGCCTAGAATCAATAAAATCACTGTTGTCAGGCAGTAGTTTTGATGTAATTGTCATAACTTCTACATGCATAAACTTGGTTATAGCTGTTCATATTGTAGTTATTTTGGGTAAATTATGCTCATTGTTGAGTTTATTTTCTATTTAAAATGTCGTCAAAAATATTCCATAATGATTTGACAATGAAATGATTTTTTTTTCCTAGTGGCACATAAAATAATGATGTGGGTGCAGTTGATTGCATTGATGAAATTCAGATCATTGCACTGACTATGTTTAAGTATTTAAAGTAAATTACAGGAGTCTGCCCGGTGGTGTAGTGATTAAGTTCATGTGTTCTGCTTCAGTGGCTTG